TTTCTAGACTGGTGTTACATTGGCAAAAGTGTGCTGCTTCGAATGGTGCCTATTTCGATTGAATCCGATGAGTATTAAAAAAGTTGCGATCGTTTAAAGTGAAACACCCAAAACGCTGAGAACTTTCCGGACAACCTAATATCATGCTCAATGTTTAGAGGAGACCAGGTAGGAGCAGGCGACGGTACAGTGGACCCGTGCATAAGGAAAGGGAATCGAAGGAAGTATTTTGTAACAAATGAATGTTTTGGAGTGCAAAGATCAGAAGAAGCCATGGTATCTCTTCCGAAAAAGGCCGAAAGATTTAAGAGTTTAGAACACTATGGTGCCGTACATGGGTGCATTGCACCCGCGCCAGGCTAAAATACTTGTCTCTTGTTATACACTGCGAAACATAATCATAGTTCCACCCATGATCTCACAAAATCCCGTCTTACAATCCAACACAGAAAACTCTTGCTTGAAAAAACAATTTTTCTCGTCAGTTCTCTCAAAAATGGTCGCTCTGACAACGCAGCAAAAGTTTAGTTCCACCGCATATTTTTCGGCGGCATCTCATTTTTGTCCCACGAAACTTCTCATCATTATGACTTCTTGCCTTTTCTAGGCTATGGCGAGTGGAACTTCATTAATGGACCTCGAAAAAGGACAGATTATCGCAAAGAAGACTCGAAAACTGTCGAATAGTCGAATCGCGCGGACATCGGGCCGCACTCATCATGCTATCAATAATTTTTTCCAAGAGATCTATAGGATATTGAGCTGAGAAGAGTTCTGGACATCCTTTTGCTGCCCGATCGGAATAGCCGTCGTATCCTTAGAAAAGCATCCAACTCTGCAGTGTCGTTTCGGGAAATCAAGTCATCTTCACAGATTAATGTATCGGAGGATACTGTGGGCGTCTCTTGAAAAACTGTCGAGTTAATCCATAGTGTAATATGGAATACGTACTGTTTCTAACGGAAAACCATCGCGAAAACCTAATTGGTTTTGCTCGAAGATGTTGCCGAACCTAATGCAGTGAGGTTAGCTGCGTTGCCCTACTGCTTGTCTATGTTGTTTTCTCAGTTTTTTATTCTCGCGGTCGTGTTTTCTGATGAGAAAAAATTCAACTGCGACGGCTTCGACGAGAATCGATTCCGCTGGCACAACCTGAGAAAAGACAAGTTTCGTTTTTCCATTCGGAACTTCAGTGGATGTGGTCTCATGGTCTGGGCCGCCATCGCATGAATGGAACGTCTGAAACTGCGCTCCGTATGAAAAAAGATATGATTCCTTCCGTCATCTAAAAGTCATGCGACAACGTCTCCTTACTTTATGGCGTAGAAATCAGCAAGAAAGTCCCGTTCTCATGCAAGATAATGCAGCAGTTCATGAGAGTCGAAGCACTCGAGTGTGGTTCAGTAGTTACCAACTGCTCTTTTGCCCTGGCCAGCGAGTAGCCCCGACTAAAAGCCAATCGAGGATGTGAGGGGCTTCATGATGCGTATGATCCGATCTGAGTAATGATAATCTGATAATAGTCTGATCTGAGTAATGCACTATTCCACAATGTCCGTGAGCTCAATGAGTAGTCATTGGGGCAGCCGGCCGAAGGCCCATCAAAATCTCTAATCGAACATGGGCAACCGTATTTTCCAAGTTATTTGGAGAAATAAAGTTCCAATAGATAACTGGACCGAAATTTATTCATTTTATTATACATTTGTTGTAGGAACATTGGATTTGTTCAGTGGAACTATACTTTTGCTACGTTGGCAGACGACCATTTCTGGAAAAACTGACGAAAAAAGAAATTGTTTTTCAAGTTAGTGTTTGTTGTTGGCATGCGAATCGGTATCGGTAATTACCACATTTGTTGTATGGGGGCATTTTGGAAGACTTCGTGCGAGACAGGATTTTGTGACATTCATGGGTGGAACTATGATTATGCTTCGCAGTGTAGTTGGGCCCAAAGGCTTATGGAAATCTCGCCGGCGACTAATGTTTTGAGGGGTGGTATAGTGACAGGAGACGCCGCTTACCGCGCGCATTATGCGGCGGCCAAATTTAGGATCAACTCCCGCCTAGACGAACCAAGCCTTCGTGCCCTCCCAAGAAATTTAATTTGTGCCGGTATCTGGGTGAGCAGAAGCTCTGAGAAGTTCATGAACTGGCCTTCAAGTCATTGTTTGGGCTAGGTAAAATTAAAACTCCACTATGATTGAAAATGAAGAGAAAAAGCGTGGCGCATTCAAGAAAGGTTTTACTAAACAACGACCTTTAACCTGGTGGTCTACTCTACAGCTAATAGAAGAGCAGAACTCAACCAAGTTTGGCGACGTGGGGGGGGGGCATTCTGCTTTGTGCTTCACTAGCTCCGGGTTACAAGTGGTGAACTCTTAAATCTGGAGCAAGCTCGTCTAGTTACCACGACAGAACCTGTCAACTCTTGTGAGTTCATGAAATTGTTCTCTAGATGAGTCGACACATCGATGGGAAGTGAATGCAAAATGCCCCCCCCCTTCCCGTCCCCGAACTGCGCCAGCACCCTCATAGCAAAAGCAGATGGCGTTGGCAAGATCCATCTAGAGAAGAAGTTTTCTTCGATCAGGTCACCAGATAAATAAGCTGTTCTTACTTACAGCCGAGTACCGCGCGGGAGGAAAACGCGTGAGATAAGTAGGAGCCAATCCAGCTGGGAAGATCACAACGGGAACGGTTTTTCTTCTTGGCTTCACGTTGACAATCTTTTGTAGGGAGCCATTTGTGCTAATGGGGTGTCTTTTTCCTTTCAGCTAATAGAGTTCCGAAAGCACATAGCTGTTTTCTGAGTGTGGTGCAATTGAGAGAGTTAAAAGAGTCTATTTTTGGGAAACGGATTTGGTACAAGGGGAAATGATGAGCCACAGCTTTCAAGTGGATTGTTTTATTTCAAAGAAGAATTCTGTATAGTCGAAAACTTTGTGCTCACTGTCGAGAAAAGATAATCTTGTTACATTCCAGTATAAGGTGTGGACTCGTTGACGATTGGTTACTCTTGAGGGCATACCAAACAGCTGATGAGCCGTCGAAAACGCTCCAGATAAGGTCCTATAATCTTGAGAAAGATGCAGATTTGTCGGCGCACGGACGGCTTTTCCGACCTGCTGACTTTATGCTTGAGAACATTAGTGCTCCGCATTTTTATGCTGATTGATCGGTGGCGCTTTCTGTACCTTCAAAATGTGTAAGGGACTGTTTATCTTTCATTGTTTTCGTGCACTGGCTATAAGAAAAGAAATGTGTCGCATTAGAGAGCAATGATGGCGAAGTGGGCGGGGACTACGCGCTTGGGTGGAGAAAACCCCACATCGCATGCTTATACCTCCCTTGCCACGAACTTACGCATGTCGAAAGTGGCCTAGCCTAGCTGACAGAGGTGATGCGAGTCTTATACGAGAAAAAGCCTACCTTTCGGATAATCTTACACAGTGTCCTTAAAGGTAAGACTATAAGTACAGCGAAATCAGACAAATGATCAGGCACCAGCTGTCTTCTATCTTTAGATTGTCCGGTACTGGCTTGCAAAGGATAGTACAAAAAGGAGACAAATGTGACGGTTGTACAGATATAATATACTCGGAATCCCTGCGATCGGGTAGGCGTGGCCGCATGTTTAAACTTACCAAGAAGGTGTCTATGCTTTTGGTGAGATGTTTTCATCTTGACACAATCATTGTCATGTCTCTGTCCAACACAGGACAAAATGGCAGTTGTCCCAGACTGGAATATTCCATGAACGGCCAGTTCCGTGCCATGTTCCAATGTCACGCCTACTCCGGCTCAGTGATAAGCTGTGTAGATCTGCGCGGATAGCATTGCAAACAGTGATGCACAACAGCACGCAGTATTTTACTGGCATTATTTGGCACTCACACTATCAGGGGCCGGATTTCAGTTCTAGAGGGAGGGAGTACTTCCGCACTGGCAAATTTTCTATGATTGTTGGTTTATCCCATTTTGGGCGCGCTGTCCCCTTTGTCCCCTCCCTTTCATACCCTCATCGACTATGTGCCCTCTATAAGACCCACTTGATCTTCACAGTTCCTACTTACCTACACCCCTTTCCCACTTTCACAGAAAGGAAAATATCGACTTAGAGGGGTGGGAGGGGCGGGGGGAGGTAAAGGAGAAGAAGAAGAAGTATATATTGGTTCAGAATCGATAGAACCTCTAGTGTTTCAATATAGGCACTTATATTCTTCGCTTCCAAGCAGTCTTTGGTTAAGAGGCGGTGGGCACGATCGTTGAGGGTGGGCGCTTGTCGCGAGCGTCATTGGTGGAACGGCTGACTGCGGTGCAGCTTAACACCCTCCTGCAGCACTTTCACCAATGACGCTGGCAACAATCGCCCTCCCCCACCAATTACCCACAGCCTCTAATGCGAACCTCACCCGAAAGTAACTCGGTCACGAATCCCTTCTTGGTGATTCCGCAACCAAGTCGTGCGATGTCGTAGCCAGTGTCGCTCGGATCATTTGTGCCCCGTTTTGATCTCTGAAGATCGTTGGTCGAAGTCGTCCCCTCTCCGCTCTGCAGCACCGTATATCGGTCAGTTTTTCCAGCCGTTCCCCAAAATTTGCTAATACTTCAAGTGCATTTTGTAATTTGTGAGTGGAATGTTTTCGATGCCTACATTTTCGGTTTCTCAATTTTTCCCGCTATCCGCTGAAGTTGTTTTGACTTATTGCAAGTGACGCGTAGTACAATGATAGATACTCGCCAGGAATAACAATAACGTTTATGTAGTTACTCGAACACAAAGGACCTCAAACTTGGGTAATTAAACGAATGTCAAAAGGAAACCAGGTTAGTAACAGAGGTTATAAGGAAAGGAAACAGTAAAGGATTAGAAACCAAAAACTTCGAATAGAAATGCGGTGGTGGGAGCTAGAATAGAAATGCGGTGGATTAGAAACCAAACTCGAATAGAAATGCGGTGGTGTGTTGGCGGCTCCCTTATATAGTGCGCGTCGACTCTAATCGAATTCGATTGGTAGGTCAAACCGATAGGTCACACCGACCTCGTGCCACCACGATGCTGATCTGTAATAGAAGTTTGTGTAACATTTCCACAATGCTCTTTGACATTAACCAAAAATATAAGTTTAAATATTACATTTGGTCTTGTCGACGTTCGTCGACACTCCGGCCGCCACTCAGAACGCGTTCTTATTTTCGCCGTTCTCAGGGTCCACAACTCGCTTTCTAACTCTTCCACACGCGCTGCAGCAATAGCCTTCTTGTTGGGAACATTGCATAGAGCTCTATGGTGGAGTCCTCCATCTTCCAGGCGCAGGTCCTCGAAAGAAGTGCCGATCAATCTGTAGCAATACCAGCATTCTCTTGTGCGATATCGGCATGAATGGCCTTCCGCTCCTTCGAGGCAGTGTGTGCACCTCCTTTTACCGACAACAATGTTATACCGTGCATCTCCATCTCGGACCCGGCTGCAGGCATCTGAGAAGTGGGTTCCTTGTTCGTCGCAGAATGCGCAAGTCCTCCATGGGTGTACTCCCTCCGAACGGTCTCTTCGATCTCGGAACGGGAAGTGCTTGAGGTCTTCTTTCATTCTTTCCACTTTTTCTTCGATTCTTCTTATACGGCTGCTGAGAATTGTGTCTGAATCGACAACTCGAAACTTTGGTGACGGTTCATCTCCATCGGACGTCGGATTTGGTGATTCACTCGCTCGATTTGCATCTGCGACCAGAAACATACGCTCACCCATTCTGTTGAAATAGCACTGTCGTCGTCCTCCGGGGGTGTCTCGATCTTCTTCTTCATGCCTTTCGGGCAGGCTCTCTTCAGGTTCGCTGTCTTCACAAGCGCTGCTGAGGGTGTCTGTTTCCACGTCCTCCTGAGGAGAGCTGTGTGGGTATCTTGTTAGGACTTTGAGCTTCCGCAGTGTTCTCGATTTGTGGTCTGGAACTGAGCTGCGTTTGAAAGTAACTCGAGCTCTTTCTCACAATTCTCTGGACTTGAGAACTCGTAAGGCGGTCTTTCTCCTTCATTTCGTTTCATTGCTTGTGTAGCATAGCTGACATCTCCGTTACCGCGAAATTCCAGCATGGTCCTGTGACTGGCGACTAATTCCGAAATGGCTTCCGATCCGAAGGAGTAGTCGCGACTGCGCTCGAGAAATCTCTGACGTTCTGAAGCTGAGGCGTGACCACATTTCGTCATGTACTCATGCAGGAAGTCCAATAGCAGATAGATGTGTTCCGATGCGAAGGAACCTTTCCTTCGTCACCTCAGCCCTCGCGTAGGGCATGTGTGCGGTCAGCTGCATCTGCTCTGCGGCGGAAGCGAGACCATGAAGGCGTCCTCTGTTTTGTGGTGATTCATTTATTGAGGAGGACTGTTGCTATTTTCTTCTGCCGGCTCTAGAGAAATGGTGCTGTGATTCCATTTCCCAGTTCTATCTGTGGTGATCCAACTTCATGTCGTGATCAGCTCCTCCAAAACCTCGCAATCTCCTTCGTCTTGTTTATTTGCCATCCTGAAAATAGGGAAACGCGTGTTATGAGCTTTTTGCTGAGACCCATAAATCATAATTTTTGTAACTCAAATTTTTGAAGTTTTTAAAAATTTATGTATCATCTTGCATGCAGCGTGATATCTAGAATCGGTGTATTCCATATGGAGGGTATCAGACGCGATTGGTATATGGTGCGGAGTTCATGCACTAGGAATAAATTGTCTCGGCACTTGAAACGCGATCTCTGTGGATGTGACGAATTTCTGCTTTCTCAGAAACGCGTTTTTTGCAAAAACCTTTTCTCATGGGAGCAGGGCACAGCATTGGTTGGGGAATCCCCATAGGGGGGGGGGTCGTATTTGGCCGCCAGGAGAGGGGGGAGGGGTCGTAGTGAGTGCGGTAGCCAGTATCGAGCAGCGCAAAGGTGTCAGTGTGCTGAATCCTGTGTAGCGGAACTTGCTTCGTAGAGAACTCGAAATGTAAAAAAACTAGTACAAAACTCTCATTCATCAAACTAAGAATAACTGAAAATATTAACAAGTTGACATCATCTCGTAAGTGACTAAACAGTACAACTCATACTCTGGTTCGCTGCGGATGATGGGCGCGAACGCGATCTGCGCTTGGCGCTGAGCCAACCTGCTTTTTCGACAGATGACAGGACTACCGTATCGCTCGTATCAGACGTTTCCAGCACTTGGTCTCCTTTATCGGAATCAGAAACTATCGGAGCGCAAGATCTGGCGGCGTCGACCGGACACGCTACATCATCGCAAGGCAAGGAAAACATGTAGACAAGTGCACAGGTTCGCCATGGACTCTCCTGAATCCTACAGACACATTTGCGCGCGTGGACACACATTATGCACAAGTTGCACCATCGCATCACTTCTGCGCGACCTCAGTGCGCGGGCAGCATCGCAGATTGGCGTGATCAGCTCTGAACGACCATATTCTGCTCCTGCTCGTCCACACAGGAATACGTTTCTATGATGTCGTTCCTGGTTATTCGAACACGTTCTCTTGAAAGCGGTACACAGGAAACGGGTTTTTTCACGAGCTCGTAGTACTCCGCCAACAAAATCCCCAACGCCAGATCTCATTCGAATGCCCGAGGACTTCCAAAACAGTTCAAGAGGTTTTTTAGAAAGAGCAAGTCTTCATACACTCGAATCCGTTCTCAGATTGTGAAATATTGAGTAAAAAAAATATATTGATTCAACCCTGTTTTCAAAAAAAAATCCCCAACGAATCCCCAAGGCAATTTTCTCTGTGATTTTTTGCGACCGTTCATGAAGATTTTAGCACTTTTAGGAAGATCAAAACCTTCCTCTACACGAATACCTTTCCCCCTTCCCATAGGTCTGCTTTTTGAGAAAGTTATGGCCTTCAAAGACACCGCTAACCTTGCCGAAAGTTTGTTTCCCACGTTGTCCTGCACAGAATTCCCTTCCCCCGCAGCCTCGGCGCCGATTCAAACAGTGCGCGCGGGAAAGTTATTCAAAGAGGTTACCTCGGCTTCGTTTAGACAGCAGATTGTTATTTATAAATACCACCAATCAACGCCGTGCAATTGCGTACTCATTGCCGGCTACGTATCCACGTCTGATTCATGTTTACGGGTGTATACTTCGCTAATCGGTAATTAAGCAAAGGCAAAATAAGAATGGCTGTGATTGTGCCGAAGGACATAGTGAAGATTCAATTTTTGTTTCAAGCTTGTTTTTAATTGGCTTAATCACTGGCGCTTTTACTCCAGACCCTTTGCTAGTAGAGGAATGCACTCCTCAAGTCAAACCGAGACTCCTGGTTGTTTAGTAGCGTGCTTAATGGTGGTTGTTTCCTGGTGCAAAATGTCTATCAAGTGCAAACGTGACTGAAGGGAGGCAGGGGTGAGGAGTCAGGGTCAGTGACTCGCGGAAACGCGCGACGAAAAGGGGTCGCAGTGTTGCATCGGGTAGTACATGGATGGGTCGTAAGTGCAGGGTCACTACTGCGAAAAGCGTGGCAATAACGTGAAGCACTGCCTCGTTCCCGTGTCTCGCCGTGCCGTAACTCCGCCTCTCTGCAAATTCCATGATAAATTGATGTAGTGAAAATGAACTACGACACAGCAGAAAGCGAGTTTAGTCTGACAATAAGTATGATCGGGGAACCATTATTTGTAGGATAGGGTTGTCCTTCTAAAGCTTCTCCACAGGTTCACTACTTCTATGTCTCTGCGTTCTCAATTCGGAGACGAATATAAGTCGCGCGTTACGTAGAACGGTTTGCAACAGCGCTATGTACGCCCGTACGATGTACGTCGCATGCCTACTACATACCCCCGCTCGACAACTTTTTCGCCGAGTGTAAACCACAACCACAGTCAGCCATGTCCCCATCGTACGAGCATGGGGCGGGTCGTACCAGCCCTTGAAAAAGGGGGGGGGTCGTAAAAGCTCGACCAAAATCCCATCGAATGCTGTGCCTGCATGGGAGGCTCTGTTACAAAGTGGGAAACGCGTCTACTCCCGGAAATCCCGATTTAAGGATATCGCTGTTAAGAATGATGAGTTAACAGTTTCGTCGCATAGTTCTCGGTGTTTGTGACTCAGAGAGTGCCAGCAGACTTCATGGGAATGCTCGCATGGGTTTTTTTGTGACCTTCTCATTGCGAACAGATTGTACCATTGAGAAAACGATGAAGCCAAGATAATCGTTAACAGATTAGCGTTTTATTCGATTTCAAAGGTAAGGAACCCGACCTTACTGGCACTGACGAGTAATTCTACGCTTCGCTTGGGCAAGGTGTAATGGGAGCCTGTATCTTGGATGTAGGGTTTGTGCAGGGGTTGCTCCCTTGATACTCCTGTACAAGCCTCCTTCTCCGCGTTCGGCCTTTTGGCCCGCCCTCTGTGCGCCTTTTATCTTGTATTTCTAAGGGAACCAACAAATTCAACGGCCTCCGCAACTCGTTGCGATGAGAAGGAACGGCAGGAACTGCTTCTCCTTACAATACCCTTGGAGTTAGAAATGAAGGGCTCTGATGCGACCCATTTTCCAGGAATTCAGGTTGAAGAGCGTCACAAATCAGTACTATTTTTTCCTTACTTTCGGCGCGTATAGCTCACTTGCCTCTGCTTCCCAAACTTCGCGCTGATGCTTCCCCGTCAAGAGTGGAGTATAGGATTTGCCTATCGCCAAAATCTTTCCCGGCCTCGACACGAGGTTTTTCAGTCGCTTCCATGACTTGTGATTTTGACTGGCAGCGCCACGCTTCTTTCGGGGGAACGATAATGCTGGCGTCGTCATCAGTTTGTTTATTGTAACCGCGGGAAGGTGGGATCTGCAATTGTTTTGTAAGAGTCAATTGGCCGTAGGTTTGATTTTTCCCATTGGTCCGGACTCGGCGTGAGACAATGGCCTGTATTTTCATATCATTGCTTCTATCTGTTAGAACGCTCAAGAAGCTCTTCGCTAAACAGAATTTTCTTTCCTTGAGACTTGAATAGGCTATTTTTATCGATCTTATAAGGCGTTCGATAATACTCCTCTCTTGCCATGGGCGAATGGGGTTAATATATTTCCACTGGATCTCGTTATCACGTCGCGGGCAATTTTAGTTACGCTGGCATCGTTTGTCTTTTCTCAGTATTCTCTCACAATGGTAGCACCTAGCGAAATTGGGGCATTGTCACTCTTATAGATGCTTGGTACCCCTCTTCTTGGCAAAGAATCTGCGAAGCATTTGTATAAACGCGTAGCGTGGAGAGGTCTGATACAATGTTCTAGGTGGTATAAGTCGTGTCACCAAAGCAGTGATAAATGCACCCGTACCACTTTTTCGACCCTGTCTTCTTGTTTTGATTTGATGGGTCCGAAATGTCGAACCGATGTGACAAATGGACGCGACTCTTTAAAGTACTCGTCGGTGACTGGCAATTCAGACTTGCTTCTGGGTATTGTATGGAAGGTTATTTACCGGCTGACACTCGACACATCGGCGAAATAGCTTGAAGTGACCTGGATCTCAACGGGGTTCCAGTAGTGTTGCGAATAGCGTCATCCGTGTATTGGTTGGTAGGGTGGCCCTTACATGATAGCTCGCTTTTGATGAGAGTTTGGACACAGGCTATTTGTCTTTCAAAACTTCATGAACGGACAAACCTAGGACATTTGGCATCGCACTTGAGTGGGCTGTTAGTTATTGGCCCGAGACACGCGTGCCAAAAGCGAACTCGCTTGCCGAAACGTCAAATGTCGAGGGTTTGACGGTGTGGGCGTTTTTTGGCCCTGGTTGTTGTTGTTCTCTGTCAGGTTTCTCCGCGACTCCATGGGTTCCTTTTTTGTCTGGTTTGGTCGGTCCCCTCTGCGTCCCTTGCCCGCCTTCGGGTTTTGCCCCTTTACCTGGCTCCTTTTTCTTCGTCTTCGCGGCTGTTGTTTTGACGGTGGCCTTTCGTCGGTTTGTTCACTGGGCTTGCTCGGCCCCCTCTGCTTCTTATGTGGTGGCCCTCGGCTTCCCGCGCGCCCGGCGCTGTTTTTCTCGGTCCCTTCAGTCCCTGCATGCGCACGCTAAACGCGCCGAACGTCGTGTGTGTTTCGATAAGATTGAGATGGTGGAACGGCGCATTTCAGAGACTTCATCGCGCCGGTTCAGTGATGGGTACTGACCAGTGCTGCATATATTGCTGGCTTAGTCACCAGCACCTTGCTCTTCTGCGCC